AATCTACCTGCTGCTCCATGGGAGAAAGGGAAAGGTGTCTCCTCCCATGAAGATCAAAGTTGTGGAAACCCACCGGAACAGTGTGCCCTGTCCTGTGGGTCACTATGAGTCAGAATCCACTCAGTGGCAGCGAGATTGGTTTTTGAGTCTAAGTGTGACCAGGGCTGGTCGCACATGCCTTCCCACTGACCCGCTGAACCGGCGGTTAGAGAGCGGTTCCTGAGGTTTCGTGTGCCCGTGGATAATGAGAAGCAAGACCTTACGTTGCTTTTCTTTTCTGGCACTGGGAGGAACCCAGTCTGGAAAATGCATTTGAAGGAGGCCCTAGATTAGACACAGTGGGAGGCGGGGCTCAGGCCTAAGTGCTAACAGAGGCCCAGGGAACAGACTCTACCAAGCATCTTAGTGGTGCGGCACCATTTGGCTTTAAGTCGATTCCAGCCCATCCCCCCCATGTCAGAGTAGAAATGTCATCGTTCAGAAGCAGGATACCAGGCCTTTTTTTTCTGAGATGCCTCCGGGTGGACTTGAATTGCCAACTTTTCAGGTCGTCTTTAAGCAAGCACATAACCATTTGTGCCACCCTTGTATGCTCCCACGAATTCAGCCAGGGGAATGCTAGTGCAGAAGAGTAAACCCACAGAAGGTAAGCAAGTTGTGTCAGTTCAGTTCGTCACGCCAGGAATCAAACCCAGGCAGTCTGACACACTCACTCACTCACTCACTCACTGTCACTAAGTCCATTCCAAGTGATAGCGACCCTATAGGACTAGGTAGAACTTCCTTGGTTGAGCTTCCGATTCTATAACTCTTCTTGGCTGTAGACAGCCTCATCGTTCTCCCGAGGAGTGGCTGATGGTGTAGAAATGTTGACCTTGAGGCGGGCAGCCCAAGGCAGAACCCACTCTGTTGCCAGGGTTCCTTCATATACTTGTGCTCACTGCCATGGGGCTTCTGAGACTGTCACTGTTGAGAGGAGAAGAAAGCCCAGTCTTTCTCCCACGGAGCTGCTGGTGGATTTGAACTGCCGACCATGCAGATGGCAGCCCCAAGGGTCACCACTATCCCGGCAGGGCTCCCCTTCGTAGGGTTTAAATGCTAAAGCACTTGGTTTGCGCTGGCTGCGACTTAGAGTTGGACTCGGATTCCATTTGAGTTATTTCTGACTATTAATCAGCAACGTGGCCATTTTGCCCTCAGACAGGGTGTTCTTGGAAATAGATCCCAACTCCCAATAATTTCCAACAAGAGCCATCTGTCAGCAAAAAGATGAGGGCCTAGTGGCTGTAACTCAGGGTCCAGTGGTCATAACCAGGTGTTCAAAGGCAAAGTGCTAGCCTGGACCTGGTTTTGATAGGTTCATCCTAATCGGGTTATTTACCCGCCATGGATGGTGACGGGTCTGCCCCCAACCATGATTTCGGGAGCACCTCCTTCTTTCTGGTCA